AAAACCAAAAAACAATGTGTGATTCACTTTATAGTGATATTCACTTTATTTTGATGTTCTGGAAAAAAACCCTGCAATATTTCTAAGTTATGCTTGTTTTATATTTTGTTCTATTTTAATTATCTTTGAAATGCACCTGTAGAAACAAACAAAACATGTTTTAAAAAAAAATAAGTCCCCCAATTCCAAAATGCTTTTCAAGATCTCCCTGCGTGCACCTGACAGCTACTGGGTAAGGATTTGTTAGCATTTGTATAAATCCTTTATGCTCGAAATTAACTTATTCAAGATGCATTCTAATATTCTTGATCTCTAAAACAATAATTCCATTGCTAAGTATGAACTAGTTTATACAAATAATGAAAGCGCACAAGTAAAACTGAATATTGTAATGAATAGAATAGAATTTATATGACATATTTAGCTGTATACAAATTTTTATTTTGATGCTCAATAATTTAAATTATAAAGGTTGTAGAAGTACTATAATTGGTATTTTTTGCATAGCCAAACTAATTTTTCCTTAGGTTTTATTTATTATTAGTACAGATTTCAAGTTTTAACAGTCGCATTTGCTGTTTAGCTATCGTCATCAATATAATCACTTTCACACTGATCCTGATGCATCAGAAAAATCAGAGTCTGAAATTCTTGCACTGCTGACTCCTACCCCACGTCCCACAGCTGATGTCACTTATGCTCATGTTATCACAACAATCCCAGAAGTTTTTGAGCAGCTTGCTGTTACCTGCACACTGCCTGGTGTCCTAGGAGCACCAGGCCACTCATGACTTTCAGGACTTATGAATTTGGAGAATGAAGTCATAGCTTACCCATCTCAGGATGCTAGTTCAATAAGCACAGATAGGTAGAAAGTGGTAGGAGATAAATTAAGGAATGTTTCTGTACCTCTGGCTCTTAACAATCTGAGAACTGAGAGACTTGCATTAAAGAACATGAAAAAATACTGTTAATTTAGACTCTTTAGGAATCTAAAAGACTACAGCTATTTTATCCTCAGGGTCAGTATTAAACTCAATTTAATTCAGGACTGAAGCAGACACTCGGCAGAAAATATTTCTACCCATCCATGGCTATAATTAATTTAGGATACACCAAAAACCCCTTGATTCCCCAGTGGGAAAAAAACAGAAGAAAATACTAATACCAAAGAGAGTTTACCCAAAGAATAAGTGGAAATTGTAAGCAGATTAATAGAATTCTAGGTCTGGGCCTTGGAGATCAATTATAGCAAGACCCTCATTTTCTGATGAGCCCTTTGAAATCAAGAGAAGCTATATTATAGAGGGTATAAGTATATTGCATAGTAATTTACTAAATCTCAGAACATTGAAACCAGAAGTAAGCTTGAAATTTTAAAGAGATCATATGTGGGCAAAAATAATGAATGTAAATTTTGTGTACTGATGAGTTAATTCAATTGAACCTGTGACCCTGAAAATGTCTTAGAAAAACAAAGGTTTAGGTAACTATGAAATGATAGGTGTTCAATGAATTATTAGGGAAACCTGGTAGTATTTGATGATAATATTATGACATACTCAACAGACCCCTCGACAGGAGTCAGAATATGCGGGCTTCCTTCTATTTCACTAACCGTTTGTATGGTCTTCAACAAGATAATGAACTTATGAGGAGATCCCCTAGACACTAGAGTGTAAAAGAACTGAAAAGGTCATCTCTAAAGCCCCAAATTCCACACAATATCATGGAGTCCCACTACCTGCAAATGTTTTGAAGGCTCTGAATACAAACATTAGATTAAGCATATCCTACCATTTCCACACACACAAAAAACACCTTAGATCATTTTCAGTACTATCACTTTTTATCAAAAACTGAGTTGCCATGTAACATATCCTAAAATGTTGCATCATATAATCTCTGATACCAATTTAATATATATGTTATAGAGTAATAAAATTCTAACAAATGATGAAAATATCTCATAATAACAAAGCAACAACAAAATACATTAACCATTTACTCCTATAAATAATGAGCTTACAAATTACAGAACTGGTTTGGTAAAGCTCATGAAAATTTTCACAACTAAACATTAAAATTCAGATGTTTAAAAACTTCCTCTCCAATTACAACTGATACATGTATTTTCTTATCAACATAAACTGTAAGCAAGATTCTGTTTACCCACTCTTCCAATACCAGTCAATTAAAATGTTTTGTAAAAAATAAATCACTCCTTATCAAATCATATCAAGAACCAGAAGAAGATTCTTAATGACTCCCTGAACCAGAGAGAAAATACTTCCGTAATGGACTTCAGGAAGTTAACCTTGCCTGAAATGTTTCACCCTCCCTTATTCATTCCAGTATACTCACAGTAGTACAGTGCATGCTCATCTAAATACTACATCCTATTCCAGAAACAAAAACACACAAAATTTTCCCCCTGGGACACAGTTTTAGTTTAGCCTCAACAAAAGGATTTTTTTTCTAAGACTAAAGTCTAATTTTATACCATTTCTTCAAAGACTGAGTATTATTCATTAAAATATTCAACCACCTGGAAAAAGTAATAATTGAACAAGTGTGAAAGGCTTTCTAAAAATAACAAATCATTCCAAGTTTTTAAAAAGTGAATAGGATTTTCTCTTTTCTGTTAATTTATCTAGCAATATTAAAGTTATAAGAACATTCTTTTCCATCAAGTATCTGACTTCCCCAAAGACTGCCCCACTCCTAGACATTTATCAAGAAATAGTTCAGATGTTTCGGCTTTTTTCACTTAAAGTTTCAGGGCAATATCCTTCCATTGATTTTTTTATGTGACTCTGATTAACTCCAGTGGGAGTCCTGCACACAATTCAGCAGTTCAAATTGATCCCTAGCTTAGCAGTCTATGCCCCTTCTATAGAGATATTTTATGGTTTCCAATTCCCAAGTCATTTATTTCTAAGTCATCTACTCAAATCTTCAGAGCTTTCTCCCTATCTCCTCTAAGATCTGAAAGTGTAAATTTTTAAAACTTGGATAAGACATTTCTAGTTGCAATCTTAACTTATTGCTTTAACATCCAGTTCTTATGGACTCAATTGCATAGAAGATACATAACACTATTACTATCCCTGATTTTCCAAAAGAAACATTTTAATAATCTTAGGAATAATTCATAATGTATAGCAAGTCTGTGAATGACAGCAAGTACTTGTATATTTTTTGTTCTGTTATCAAAAGAGACAAATATAATTTGTTCTTTTCACAGTTGGGAATTGTGTCTTCAAGTAACAGAATCTATGAGTTAATATCTCACTTATTAAGCCCCCTGGAAGCAGAAGTTTCAGTGTTTTTACATTATCTGCTGGAAGATATTAAAACTCTAAGTTGGCTTCCCTGCTTCTTTGTTGGCTGCTTTTCATTGTCACAGAACAGAGCACCTCCATCTTCTTTCCCCCACACCATCTCTCTCTCAGGATGAACAAAGAGTACAGACTTTAGTTCATGGTTTATTCCCTGAAACTAGGAGTTATGAGTAGAACTCTAACTTTCTTGCTCACATTTCAATCATAAATTTGAACAAATTCAGAGTTTTGTTGAACTCTGAATGAAGTAGGAGAAAACAACATGGAGAAGCCAGTCAGTAGTGTCTACAGCTGGAACTCTTTCTTCTACCACAACAGAAACAACATTTATCAACTATTTTGGATTAGTCAGGTAAAGTTCCAGACAAACATACAGAGCATGTGTGTATAGAGAAGTCACACTCAGAATGATAAGCAAGAAGCGGGATCAAAACATATGTTTATGTTTAAAGAATTTTATCACAGTAAAAGACACATTGCTGTTAATTCCCCTGAATACTCAAAATATTCCCCCTTGCTTATAACAAAATTATCCCATCATTCTTAGCAATAAGTTTTGCATTAATAAGGGGTTTTAAAACATTTTTTAACATTTTCTATATTTTTGATCACCCCTTGTATCACATTTTCTTTTATATGTGGAATCTAGAAAAAAATGACAATAGGAAAGTAGAGGAGATACTATTAAAGAAGAGGAAGAGGATGGGGGAGGGAGTGGGGTAGAGTAATGAATAGGGGATAGGTAAGATCAAATTATGCTTGCATTTTGAATATGCTATAATAAAATTCATTTTTCTCTATTCTTAGTACATGGTAATAAGAAATTTATAAAGAATTAGGAGTCAACGTGCACAAATAAAAGATGAAAAATGTCAAAGCATGCCATAGAAAATCTACAGTTGAATCAACAAGTCCCAATAAGCAAGAAAATAACTACATAAAACTACACATGGCACAGATGAGAATTCAAGTAGTAGTTTCACAAGAAGAATCTAATAAATTAAATTACAGTACTAAGCAATATACTTGCAACATTATTTCCAATGAACTCAATAAAAATTTCCAGTTAGTATTATTGGGCATATCACATTGGGGTTTCACTCCGAAGTATAGCTACAAAATAAATAAATATATATTTATGTATTCATTTATTCTCTGGTGAAAAATGTACGTATCCAGTGAAAATTTTATACATTAATGTTTATAGCAGCTGTACTCAGACTTTCCATAAACTGGAAAAAAATGTCTCCCAATTGGTAAATGGATGAACCAAATGTGTTAAATTTATACAATAAAAAAGTATTCAGCAACAAAATATAACAAACTAGTGAAAAATTAAAACTTGAGATGAACCTGAAAACATTATGCTAAGTAAAAGAAGTTATATATTAAAAACTACATATCATGTGATTTCTTGTACAATATATGAAATTTCAGAAAAGAAATAATTATAGAGTTCTTCATTGGTGAGCCCAGATTGGAAATAGGAGCAGAGATTGACTACAAATAAAAATCACAGGATTTTCTTGTGTTGATGAGAGTATTCTAAAACTGGATTGTGGTGATAGTTGCACAACTATATACATTTACTAAAATTTAGCATTGAACTGTATACTGTATTTACATTGAGAGGATTGTATGGTATATAAATTATACCTCTTAAAACTGTCTTCCTCCTTCCACAGAAAAGGTGATGTGGCTTCTACTTTGGTTCTTGTTCTCCCCCCTCCCCCACTCTATCCATCCCCATCTTCATGTTTGCTTTGGAACCAGCCATTATGTTGTAAGAAAGCCCACACATGTTCTAACCAAAGCCCATCCTAAGTTGACAACCAGTACCAATTGCCAGGTTATAAAGTCCACAAGTCTCTTGAGGATTTCTCCACAGCTGAGAATTAAAACACCATGGAGCAGAAACTAAGCCTCTTTTCTATGCCTTGTTTGAGTTTCTGGCCCCCAGAAACCATAAGAGAACAAATGATGTTTGCTGATTTAAGCCACAACATTTTGGAGTAATTTGCAACATGGATGCCTAACTCACATTGACACTAATGAAATCACCACACAAATGAATGTAAGATGATGACTATAACAAGTTATAAAATGAAAAGGTAACTGAAGCAATGAGAATATAGAAGTGTAAAGTAAATTTATTTCTTACAATAACACAAATATTCAAAAAGTCAGTAAGGGTTTATAGCTGGCCTATGCTGGATGAATGGGCACTAAATGTGGTGAAGGGGAAAATGTAAAATGACTTTGTCAGAGAGTATGGGAAGGTAAACATGAGCCCTATTCTGTCACAACTATGTATATGGCCTTAAACAGGTAATCTTTCTAAGCCTCAACTTCCTTGTACGTAAAATGGATATTTGGAAGGATTAAATGAGAGAGTATATGTTAAACATTTACCATAGGACTTAATTCAATTGATGTTAGTTTTTATTTTGATTATCTCAAAATGCTTGGGTTGTCATCAGTAGTATGGTCCCAAATAATCTCTACCAACAAGGCTAGCACTTAAACATAGGTTCAAGAGACTTGGAAATAAGTCCTTTGAAGTTCATCTTGTGCACTCATTTATTTATGGGGTACAAGTATTCTCTTTTTGCATTTTCTAATTTCTGGGCTCCCTAATTAATTGCTTCATTTCACTTGTGGAAAATAACCATAATCAAAAGTTGTAGTTGTTGCTAAACAGTTAAAGGATGAGGTTTTCATTTGTTTATTATATATAATTCATGAACTTCAATAGCAAAACTATTTTAGATCATGTCTTCATTCTGTCATTTTCTTTTTGCTGGACTGTTTATCAAATGATAGTTTTTTCTACATGTCAAGACGTGAAAATAATACAAATTAGAGGAATGGAAGAATAAAGTTGATTTATTCTCTTCCATTAAAATTATTGCATATTTGTGGTCCAAAAAGCTCATCAGAAAGCCAGTGGGTAATAAGCAGCTGTGAGCAGCCATGGCCTGCTGCTTATAGCTAGAGAGGACACCATGAATCAGATTCATTTGATGTCATCTTTTGCTGTACTTTGCTGAATGACTTGAGAGGTGAATGAAATGAGATGATAACCTCTAGTTAGAAACACGTGTGCATTTAGAGCTCTGCATTTTACTGCTACTTCAAGGACATCAGCAAAGAAATGTCATCTGAGGACATTTATAAAATAAAGAACATCTTTCTAAGATTTAGTGTGAGTCTTATCTATATCTTACCTATCTTTTTGTCCCTAGTGCCTTGCTTGATTCCTAGATCATAAGTGGCACTTGATTAATGCATGCTGAACTGAATTTAAGTATCAGGTCAGAAAGTAGGCTCAAAAACTTTTGAAGAATTCTCTGTAGAGCCTTGAGAATTCTCTGTAAAGCCACACTATACTCGCTGCTATAATTTTGTCTCTATCCAGACCTTTTCCCTGACAAAGACTATACAGAGCAGCATGGTAGATAATAGCAAAGTCTGTAGAACAAGGCTGATTGAGTTCAAATCAGTTCTGTAACATTGGCCAATCACTATGTCCCTGTAGTTTGTCTCTTATTTTCTTGCCACTGAGAAAAATACCCAATCCCCACAACTTACAGGAAGAGAGGTTTATTTTGGTTCAAAGTTTAGTCCACCATCAGCCTGATCCAAAGCAGAAATAATAAGGCAGAGGGGTATAATGGAGGAAAGCTGTTTCACCCATGACAGCCAAGAAATAGTGAGGAAAGGGAGGAGCCACGGAAGGAGATATGCTCTTCCAGGTCACGTCCTTGGTGACCTATCTCCAACTACGTTTCACCTCCAAACTACGATAGAGATTAAGTGATTATTCTCTTCAGTTCAGTGAGCTCTAAACTCATTTGAGGATTAAATAATACATCCATAATCCAATCACTTTCAAAAAGCCTCACCTCTGAATACATAAGGTTTGGGGGACATTCTAGATCAAAATTATAACAACCTACACAATGGAGACTATTGTTGCCTACCTGTTATGGTTATTGTGAGAAATAAATTCCTAAATTTATGTAAAGTAAGTAGACTGAAGCTGACATACAATCAAACAATTATTGTGGTCATAATGATGAGCAACAAATCTGCTATTGTCCTGTGAATATAGCCCAGGGCTGTGTCCCTTTGCCAACTGTTTTCAACCACAGAGACCACTGAAGCAGAGTTCTTTTTGCACTCATACATTCTGAGAAGGATGGCTGAAGAAAGTTTTCTTTCCATTAGAGCTTAGAGTGGTGTATAGAGTCACACTGATAATCCTTGGAAAGTCCTGTTGTGAACAAAAAGACCCTTACTTTATTTTGTTAGCATTTACTTTTTTGCCAATTTGGTTTCAGTTAATGACAAACATGTCCTGAAAACTCAACAAGTCTTTGATTCTGTTCTCATTAAATTAAGCAGTCTTATGGTATTTATACACAGTGGAGTGCTACTCTGCTATAAAGAAGGAGAAATTTGAGTCATTTGTATGAAAATGGATACAACTGGAGATCATAATGTTAAGTGAAATAAATCAGACAAGCTTAAATATCTTATGATTTCTTTTATTGAGAAACCCAAAATATAAGTAAAGAACAAAATAAAAAATAGATAATAGGAAATAGGCACAAATCTTTTGCAGAAGGAAGGGGACCAAGCGATGGAGGTAGGGGGAAGAAGGGAGGAGAAGAGGATGAAAAAAGAATTAA